ACCTTCTATTTCTCACACTAGTAGAGCTCAAATAGAAGAAAAGACTGCCAGATGCTAAGCTGTTGCTTCTAAGAAGCAAGAACATTCAAGAATACAAAGGAAAAAATACAGAGAATTCAAAGGATACTGGGTTAGTATTGTACAGTAATGCTAGAGAAAAATATAGAATTGCAGGGAAACACAAGTAAACACATTCTCATTCTGCTGACTGCTTGAAGTGCTTCTTACCTTTGTGTTTTCTTATCTGAGTTGACACTGTCATTATCTCCAAGAGATGCCAGAGACAGGCTGGAAACTGAAAAAACACGAGGTCGTGAACCTGGATGCAAAACACAAAACAGGACAGGACCCACAGTTACACAAGACAACACCAAGCCCGCCAAACTTTGTGTTACCCTCATAACAGTACAGCTCTCTGCAATAATGTTGCTAACAGTCTCTCTAACTCCTTCAAATTGTCTAAAACACACACAAAAGAGTGTCATTTGAAAGATTCTTAAAAGAATTCAGCCAGATTGGTTAAATGAATTCAAATTAGTTCAGGGAGAGTCCTTTGAAAATAGTTGGAAATTAGTTAGAAAGTTAATAAATTGGTTCGAATAGATATTTAGGCAAGTAAAGTTCTAGAGTACTTGTTAGGAGGAAATACAGAGGGATGCAGTGAGCTGGACAGGAAAAGGCTGAGAGTAGCACAAAGCATGCCATGTCGGGCTTTGCCCTTTACCTGCCATGGCCCTGACAGGAGTCCTGGGGGACTCCATCACATCTCTGTGGATGGATTTGGGCCGTGGTTTTCTCTGTTTGGCCCCCATAGGCCGTGGTTTGACAAGCGTGTCCATGTCCTCCATAAGCTTCAGCTGTTTTCTCCTCAGGTACTCCTGTTTGATGAACTCCCGCCGGGCTTTGTCTTCTTCCTTCTTCATGCGGTCTTCCTCTGCTTTCAATCTGTGGAAAAAGACAGATATTGAAATTAAAGACGAGGGGGAGGAGTTTAGATTTAGTGACTGAAGGCTGGGCTGGGTGTTACCTGGCCTCTTCTTTCTTTTGCTCAAGCTCCACTTCCAGCTGCTGTTTCCTTTGCTGGCTCTCCCGTTCTCTTCTCAGTCTTTTCTCCAGAAGCGCTGCTCGCTTCATGGCCATGCTGTCCTCTTCCTTCATATCATCCTTACAACATGAACACATTATCAGAATGGACATTAAGAATCTCTGTTAATGTCTTATGTTGAGGTCTAGTATCTGAACAAGGAATCTGAAGGCAATTTACTGATGTTAATGTGACGAGTCTGGATGAGCCAGATACACAACACTTCTCAGACTCCCTACAGAACGCTAACACCACAAAATAAATTATTTATTTGACTTAGTTTTCTGACCTAGATCAAACAGCTGCATTTTCTAGAGATCTGTCCCAAGCTAACCTCCTTCTGCGACTGTTCACGCTAAAAATAATTTTGTTCATTATAGTCACACAGCAGCATTTTCCTGAGCTAAAGCTATGGTAATACACCATTCTGGGTTATAACTATGGCCCTTAACAGCTTAAACAGTTTCTTAATAAAATGTGTCAGGCACTTGCCACCACAATGCTAAAGTGTTCTGGATAGCTGCTAGGGTATTGTTAGCTGTTTGCTAAGGTGTACTATGTGGGTTTTAACAAATTGCTAGGCCATTGCTAAGGTTCTCTAGATGGTTGCTTTCTGGTCCAAGACAACATAGCCCTCAATAAAGTCAAGAAAAGTAATATCCTCAATAAACCACATAACTGAAGGTAGCATTCAAGTTCATAGCCCCAATGGTGTGACAAGATTTGATCACACCAAAATTTAACAGGCAAATCATCTTAAATTCAAACTGCTAACTGTAAGCAATAGTAATAGTGATGCTTGCCTTAGCATTCACCTCTAAGTATTCGCACGTGGTAGTGGAAGAGTTCATTTCCAAGCTTCCTTAATCTACAGATTAAGACAAGGACCTTCTGACATTCATATCTACCTTAAAGAAGAATCCACGGAACATTTTCTGCTCATCGTCCAGATTTTCCCCTGAAGTCTCCTTCTCGCCTTCATCTTGCAACGTCTGTCCATCCAGGGGCTTGAGAACAGACAATGGAACCTCAATCAAATTTTTGTTGGTCTGATGGGCGATATCAACTGGCTCGGTGGGAGTGACAATGACGGTCTCCATTACGATCTGCGTCAAAACTTCCGACACACTAGATTCCACTACCGGCTTTATCTCATTTGTTGGCTTCTTCAGCTGTTCCCTTTCTTCTGTTTGTCTGTTCTCCTTCTTGCTCTCCTCTCCCCTTTCTTCTGGCTCCTTGGCTGACAAGTCAGCATCTTCGGTTACATCCTGTTGGGTTTCTTTGGTTGGGGAGGTGATGGTACCAGAAGAACATTCAATCGACAATGACTCAAGGCCTTGTTCTATGTCCTTGTCTGTAGCTTCAGCTCCTGATGGTGGTTTCTTCTCATTTCCCAAATAAGAAAATGAGCAGGACACGGACTGAGATGGGGAGAACCTTCTCAAGCGTGGTATGCTGTCCACCGACTGTGGAACAGTCAGGACTCGGTTGAAGGGAGTGATCTTTAGCTCACTGGGTCTGGGTGTCCTTGGTGTCTTGGAATGGAAAGAAGCAGACTTCCTCTTAAGGTTTGTAGGGGAACAGTGCGTAGCTCTAGGAGAATCCGCAGGTGAGGGAGACCCAGAAGAGCGTGCCCCACTCCCTCGGAGCTCTTGCACCTGCTTTTGCGGCGAAGGTTGAGGTGGCGACACAACCCAAGCCTGTTGCTCCCGCATCTGCATGATTACCTCCTGCTGCTGGGCCAGCCGCTGCATCTCACTCTGCAAGAAGCTCAGGGAAGCATTGAGCTTCTCAATGGAACGTGTGTATTCCATCAGGTCCGCTTCGGATGTGCCGTCCTCACCCGCAGACTTCACCAGAGACTTGACTGGCTGAGGTGTCTCCGCTGGCGTCTTGCTTCCCTCTGAGCTAGGAGTGTCCTCCTGAGAAGGTGAGGTGCCATCTACTCCTTTCCTCTTGACAACTGTGAGGAAGGCACTGCGTCCCATCTTCTGACGGTGTCGGGTAAAAGCCGCCTCTACTTTCTTCTTCTGAGCCTCAATGGCTCGACGCTTCTCCTCAAGTCTCATGTGCAGCTGCACCATTTCCGCAGCCATGGCCTGGGCCGGGTCCTTGGATGGCTGATGTGCAGGGCTGACCTCAGGTGAAGGAGCCCAGGAAACAGAGTGAGGAATGCTGGATTCAATTTACGGAATTTCTGCTCAGCAAAGCTGGTCATCTTAATCCCAGGTGTAAAAGCAGGGGTGCTTCCAGCAGGGGACTTGCTGCTTAGGCTGCTGGGACATGAGCTTGTAGAGCCCTGGCTATGGCAAGCTCTTGCTTCAAAGGCTTGATCTGTGTCAAACTCCATGCTGACAGTACAATCCCTTAGGGATGAGTCCTCATCTAGTGTCTCTTGGATGTCCTCCGTCCGCACATGGATGCCGGTGTCTACTTCAGTGGTGGATGTGCTAGCAACCCCTTTGGATGACTCTGAAACTGAGTCTAGCTCGCCATCCTTTGCTTCAGGGTTCAAATCACTTTTATTCTGGAGGTGAAGAAAGAAGCCCTCACTGGGCGCATGGGCCCTAGGGCTCTGAGATTTCTTCTCTGAGTTGTGGATGATCTCAAGGGCCTCTTTGATGCTAGGTGGCCCTGAGCCATTTAGACGGCCATTATGATTTCCTGACAGGCTGTCAGGACAGACGTCCTCATCAATGCCCATGTTCTTGCCGTTGACAGGCTGAAAGGACAGGTTTCTCTTGATGCCCCTGGTGCCGTGGGGCATCTTGAAACCAAATCCTTCAGTGCTGACAGACCGAGTCATCCCTCGGCCAGTAGGTGTTTGATTGGTGCTCTCTTTATCAAGTGGGATTTCAAAGAACACTCCCTGAGCAGCAGACCTGAAGAAAGAAGAGAGGATGGTATCCAATCGGCATGTAGTTTCAAACTTTATGTCTTTTATTCTCAATAATGAGATGAACTTGCACTTACTTCTTCTCTTTGGGCCAAGTACCCATGAAGCTTTCCACAAATGACATTGAGGTTGATCTCTTGATCTCACCTGCACAGCACACATGTATAACTTATATAGTACTGGGTGCATTTCATATTAAGACTTAAATTTTGTTATCATAAAATTTTTTTTAGGCCTTTTAAATTTACCTGAGCCTGAAGTCTGTGGTTGAGGTCGGAGCGGGAGACTTTAACATGAACATAAAAAAAATATGAATATCAATCCAATTTTACGTTTGAATTTGAACTGCTACAGGCATTCAAAGTAAATTAAGCAGAAGGGGGAAGTTTTCAATAAAAGAGACTTTTGATATACCTTGGTCTGTCTGGACTAGGCGGTCGTTCCATGAAACTTCTCTTTGTGACCTTTGAGATGGGCACAGATGGCAAATTTTTCAGTGAAGGGGCTGGTGCTATAAATGACAAGACAAATGTGTCGGTATACAAATGTCAACACCATTGGCTAATATTTCTGGAAAATTAATTCTATTGTAATATCAGTCTACCTTCAGTATCCAACACCTGAGGCTGGACGAATGGCGGCATAACAACCTCGAACCACCAGAAGAGCTCAGCCATAAACACAAGATAGTTATTCTGGTAAAAACAAACAAACACATTAACTTGCATTGCAAGCATTTTTTTCCAAAATAATTTGCATGATTGTATAAAACTAGTATGTGTAATATTCCTCCTCTCCCACAAGATGTCTCTGCAATTCTCTAAATCCTGGTAATGCATGAACGGACACCACCTGGAGACAAGAGTGCCCTTTTCCTTCAAATTTAATTATATAGCGTATATATAAGGAATTCTGAGGGATTTTATACTTTACAGTATATATAGCTTTTTTGTCCAATAATGCACACAAGCTTTTTGTGCTATGAACAACATCTTTATGCCAAGACTACAGAATTCATGACCTTGAATTCATAGAGGGTACCTGACATGATGAAAAATGTCTCTGATACACTATTCCCACTCAGCAGAATTTACATCTAGCAGTTTAAAGGCACAGTGTAACCGCAGCAATTACCCAAGGCCACTCCCAGAAGACATTACCTCAGCATTTTAATTGACTTTCAACAAAGAGTCCTTGCTCTCTTTATAGCCTAGAGTAGCTCTAGACACTCAAAGCCACATCTATTGCATATAACCAAATGATTAAAGCATTTACTCATATAATCCAAGGCATCAATTGTTAACATTTGCAACAGCCTTTAATAATAACATTAATGTCACGTACTAGCAAATTAACAAAGATAAAGCTACCCATTGTCAATTAATTAAAATAGTTCAGGGTGAAATTTGTACACAACCTCACTGATTTTATGCAATGTCACATATCCCATCTACCAATGCTATTGGCAATAACTAAAGGAATAAATAAAGGGGTCCACTGGCAACATTTATATGGAGTGGATAAAAGAGCCAAAGCAGGCGCATGCTTGTACCCAGATGGTGTTTGGCACATGCGTCTTCTCCCCCATCTGCCTGTCTACGTACTTATTCACATAGGTTAGGTTTTACTGTAGTTTTAGGGGATAAAAATGTTGCTTTTTATTCGGGGCGTCAATTTTTAAGTGTCAATTTATTACAAATATTTACATTTTAAATCATGTTAAAAAAGTAATCATGCTTCCTCACCCGTATGCAAATTCCTTAATAACAGCATACCAAACGAATCTTTAAACATTGTTTTTTCAAAATATGCAAATTATTATTGGTGAATTTTGGAGAATCAAAAATTAATGGCATATATCAATATTTATTTAGAAAAGACCCAGACAAGTTTCTAAATTGCAGAAAACCAAATTAGATATAAAAAAAATTACACAATTATATATAGAAAATAAATATACATATACTATATACTATAAATGTATAATTATTTACTATTTTCTCAAAATTATATAAATATACAACAAACTTCTACTCATTTATTAATCTATTTAACCAGGGGATTTTTGGAACTTTTTACTATACAGTTGAGAGCAAACTGGAAATAAATATGACGGGAATGAGATCAGGTCACAATACAGTCCAGATTCAAAGCTGCACCTCACCACATGAAGCACATGTGCTAAGCGCACTGAACATTTTAATAAAAGGAAGCAGCTGAGATTAGATTAGCTCTGACAGAAACTGGGTCTAGGTTACAGCTCTGTGACCTGCTCTCAATTCCACTCATATTTCAGAGATTCAGCTCTGAAGTCTGGCACTGTATCAGACTCTATCAGATGCTGCTCATGTCCTCTAACCAGAGGCTGTTAGGTGCTAATAAAACCCAACATGCTGTGAGAATTTGCTACCATTTGTGGAATAACACTTTAAACAAAAAACAGGTGGAACCAGTAGCATTGCCCTCTGTTTAGAGTTTCTAAGGTCATTTTAAACAACTTGCCCTCTGTTTAGAGTTTCTAAGGTCATTTTAAACAACCTCCTTGTGGTTTAGTAAGTGTGTCCAGGTTTCCAAATCCTAACCATAAAATGCCAAACTACATCTTTATATTCTCTTTCCACAGCCACTGAAACCAGAGTTCAACAGCAACAGCAGAAATGTCTGTTCCATAGAACCAAAGGCTTCTCGGTCAACAAGACTGAAAATCTTGGCAGCAGATGTTCTTTCTCTCCAGTCCAGAGAGGACTGAGATCAAAGACACGAAGACAACATTCAGAACGAAAAAAACAAATAAAAAAACTGGTCTTCACTTCCATCACTTTCAGTCCATAGAGTGGTCTGAACTGACAAAGCAGTCTAAAGTAAAAAATCTCCAGTTTGACGCTATCTACAACTCGCAAAACAAAATTTTTTCCAAGTCTTAATAACATTTTGATATCTTAAGATTATGAAAATCTCATAAAAGGAGGTATTTCCCAGAGAAAAGCACAGAATAAAAGCAAAAAAGGCTTAAAAAAACGTCTTGCTGTAGAAAAGCTCTTGAGATCTTTCCATAATGGCTTATCTAGCAAACCACGATTCCTATATTTAAATATCTTCTAGGCATTTTTAATGTGATTTTATTGCTGTTTTAGTCAATGGCACCAGTCTTTAGAGAATCTGCTTCCACTGGGAGGCTGGTTTAAGCACCAGCGTTTGAAGGCAAGCCTCATGCTTTTGGCTTTTTAACAGGAATAAAGCCAACTCCCACAGGCAGCACTTGCGCTATTGTGAGAAAAGGGCTCCAAATAACAGTATCCCACCCAACCGCATATGTCGTGGCCTGAGAAATTTGACAAACCTTGACCTACAGTTATAAACACATAAACCAATGAATTATGAAGGCAAGGGGAACTTAAGGGTCTCTAATTGCATCGAGCTGTAAAACACCTCTAATTGAAAGATACAAGCTGTATCTGAAGGCTTACTTTGATGGAAGTATGAGCGTAGAGCATGTCCTCCAGATTGAAGTGGCAGCAATGGTTCAAGTGTTCCTTACAGAAGTCCTGGATGAGCTGGAGGTTGTACAGACTGTCTGCCAGCGACATGGTCTCCTTCAGGCAAATGTCTGCAAATCAAAGACGATAAAGTGCTACACTAATCAGGCACTACTCACTGACAGATCATCCGGCCTATTTGGCAGATCTGACAAGGACTCAACCAATCACAGAGAAGCCCATTAATCATGGAGTCTAAAATGACACTCATGTGATTCACGTTTGCCTGTGGGGATAAATGTAATTGCATCCATCATTTGATTTTACAGCTAGGTGGAGAATCAGCACTAGTCCTCTTCATCACTGTGATAAGATTAACAGGAGTTCAGGATGATTAAAGTCACATAAATGTTTCTAAATGAGTAGTTGAAGACTATTGTATTCACGAATTCAAAGCTCAAAACTCATTTACAGCACGTTTAAAAATAACTTTCAAAAATATCATATGTACAGTAGGTTGCAAGTTCGTTTCCTTTGGATGATCCAACCTCAAGAGTTTTTAAAGATATGAGTGAAACAAAGAGGAGGAAGCTTATAGACTACTTTAAAAGGTAGGCTAGGTTTGAGTTAGTCACTACTTGGCTAGAAAACATGCAGGCTACCTGTTTGTTGCCATAGGGTGAGATTTGTAAAGCAAAAGCCTATGCTTTTGAAATGTTTTCAGGGTGGGAATTTGGGCGTGGGATTGTGGGTATTATGCATAATTTTACTCACTTCCCTAGGTTTCGCACTTATAATATGGGAAATTTCTCAGGCATTTCAGCGTGAAAGACACTCAGGACAGTTGATGGAATGTATATGCACGTGTTATTAAGTCTGGGCAATTAAACATTCAAGAATTTTTAAACCATTCAAGCGCAATAAGCAGCAAAAGAGCACTCAGTACTCGCGCATTCTCTGAGAGACGGTTTACTGTACGCACATAAAGCCGCTTCTCAGACAGCGTGCGAATACTGAATATTTTGTATTTATATTCTCTCCTTTAATGGTAACATCATTCCTATATTTGATAGTGACACTAAGGAGAGGGCACAGTCCTACAGAAAGATTTTATTGTCATCAGATGTAGCTTTGCACACTGCCAGCATCTAGAATGATCAGGATTTTAGTGTTCATTGCAGAGAGCTCTCTCAATTTGTTATATTTTACAGTTTGTCAACTGATATAAGATTTTGTAGGCTTTGCACACATGTGCACCCTTCGAAAGCGTGAAACCACATGGCCTCTTACACAACAAATTCCAACATAACTCCTGATTATATATTTTTTTCCCCACTATTTTTTTCTAGACTTCAATTTTCTATGGTTTTGTTGTGAAATGTTATGAAACAAAATCATTTGTCTGGGCTCCTCCAACAACTTAAAATATTGCATAATATTTTTTTCAATATTGAGGATAAAATATAAATATAATAATATTACACTTGTATTACTACTACTATTACTACTAAGTTTTTCATAATACAAAATAATACTATTATTGTGGATATTGTTTTTTGACTGTATCTTGTATAATATTTTAAAAATATTGTGAAAAATAGAAATAAAATAATATTAAACTTTTATTAGTACTATAATTTCTAATAATATAAAATATTACACAGTATTAATGTGGATATTGTTTTCTTTTGTAAAAAAAAAAAGAGAAAACATTTGTCTATTGTTTCTTGTATATTTTCTTTCAAAATATTGTGAAAAATAGAAATATAATAATATCATATTAATATTAATACAATGTAGTATTAAATTATTTAATAATACAAAAATATAATATAAAGGCACAGGGTATAAATATAAAGTAATAAACATTATTTTTGGTGATATTGTTTTTTTAATTAAATGTTATAAAATATGTGCTTATTGTATATTCTACATTTGTTTTTAAATATTGTGGAAAAAGTAGAAATATAATATTATACTTATATTAATACTATCATTTTTTTATTTTATAATATTAAGAAATATTAAAATAATACACATCACTGTGTGTGTGTGTGTGTGTATTTCTTTAAAGAAATGTTAGGGAAAAAAAACATTTGTCTATTGTATAACATTTTCAAAAAACTGTGAAAAAATATCTCCATGAATATATCATCCATTGTCACCATTTACATTGTCATTAAATCAATTAAATTAATTTTATTAAATTAAATTAAACATGGATTTTGAGTATGAGTTGCATTCCTACTGATGATCTGTGTACAATAACACCATGTGCATTCAATAAAGTAAATAGGGTTAATTTTGATTCAACAGCTCCCACACACTATTCTCTCGGAACCTTGTGTATTATTTTGTGTGTGGTAATGCTGGAGGTTTGGCAGGTTCATGTACCTCCCAGGAAGACGATGGTGGGGCAGTAAAAGTGCAGCAGGGCGGCGAGGGCACAGCCATCTGTGCTGTCCTTCAGGAGGTTGTCCACTGGGGGGATCCACGGCACCATCTTGGGCAGAACCTGCTCCTTCCTATAACGTGCCTGGAGCAAACAGACATAAACAAATGATTCAGTAGAGCAAATCACATCTGATAACACTCAGAGAGTTCATGATGGCCTATTCAACAACTGACCAACGTATGGAAAAGTACTGAAAATAAGACATGCAGTGGGAACTTTAACTAACAGAAATGGATGGTAACATAAAATCTATTTTTACTCAGCCTAATATAAATATTTCTCTGTCGACAGTTTATTGCGTGGTTAATGAAGCTGAGGACAATGTGAAAGCATCGTCATGGCAACAAAAACACGATGGAGCCACGAGATGGAAGAAGCCGGGATGAAAGAAGGTGTTCACAATCACACTTACAGGAACCAGCTTCATATACCACTTGGTTGGAGACTTCAGCCAGTCAAAGAATGAATGAGAGAGAGAAGGAAAGAGCAGTTACGTCAGCGAGCAGAGATTATTTAATGCAATCAACTGTTTACGTCCATATCAGATTAAGCGTGACGATGCCTTCTTTACTAGAAACCAGATTACAAGAAAACAGTGAAACTCTTGAAGCTTGAGGGAGGTTTAGTACCTTTCCACTAAATAAATAAATACATTTGTAAACCTCTATTGGTCAATATTGGATATTTATTTTGTGCAGTTAATTTCACCTATTTTTATATTTAGATTACCTTTAAAACATTTAAATGCCTTCCATCATCTAACGGTCAATTTGACTTTACCATTTATTGTTTTATTTGTAATTTATTTAGACAAAACACTTCGAATTTTCACTGAGACTGAATCGCTGAGAAAGGAATAGAAAGCAAACCACCAAAAAAAAAGTGTTTGCTTTAACGCTGTCAGGCCTGGTTAGGACACAGTATGCTGGTTCCTGCTGCTTCCTCTTCTTAGTTTTCACAGTTTTAAGCCTCTCTCAACTTTCAAGGCTTAAATGACTGTAAAAAAGAAGAGTATCATCAAAAGCATGCCAAAATATCTGTAGGGGTCCAAACTGCAGAAGAGGACATACTGATGCTCTCTGATCTAAGAGACATTAAACCCTGTGAATCACAATATGAATGCATTTTTACCCAGAATGCCCTAAGAAGACTGCAAAGACAGGATTAGTCTTTTGCCAGTGGATTACTTCTAGAAACAAAAACAAAACAAAACAAAAAAAAAT